CCCATCACTGCAGCCCCATAACAGCAATGGGGACAGGGCTCCCATCACTGCAGCCCCATAACAGCAATGGGGACAGGGCTCCCATCACTGCAGCCAGCACACAAACACTGCACTGGCAGCTGCTGCATCTCCATGGATTGTCCTGCATGCAGCTGCCATCACACTGACCGTGCTCTCCCTGCCCTAAATCTGCTCTGTGTGGATGGTGATGGGGGAAGGAGCCGTGGTGCCCGTGTTTTGGGGAGTGGAGGGGTGGCTGTGGGGGGCAGGATGGACTGGGCACGAGCTGGTGAGTGTTTGTGTCACCCCAAAGCAGCTGAGCTCAACGGTAGCCAGTGAAAGCCTTGTCTCTGCCTGGCCTCTGACCAGCTCCCATGCAGGGTTTTCATAATCCAGGGGTTTTCATAATCCAGGGTTTTCATAATCCAGGGGTTTTCATAATCCAGGGTTTTTCATAATCCAGGGTTTTTCATAATCCAGGGGTTTTCATAATCCCGGGTTTTCATAATCCAGGGTTTTTCACAATCCAGGGTTTTTCATAATCCAGGGTTTTTTTATAATCCAGGTTTGTCTGGTTTGGAAATGCACCCCATGGCAAAGGCCAGCAGCTCCTGTGGGACTGGGAAAGGCCAGCAGGGTTAATGCCAGCCTGAATGGATGGACCCCACACCATTACACACCCAGGCACTGCACTGAATTTGTATCTTCACATCACTGATCCCATACAGAGGATTTTATCAAATCGTGGAGGCAGAAAACCCTGTCCAGGTAGAAGGGACCTGTGCTGTCACCCTCCCAGCATCCCACCTTCAAAGGAATCACCAGACCTTTTTCTAGACTGAGACGTGGCAATAAATAAGATGAACTGAGTGTCAGGCAGTGCATTTCAGTTCATTCTTGCCYTGTCCTGTGTGCAGTTCACCTCTCCAGCTCCCATGGGAGGGGATCCACTCCTGATTTCAGCTAAATGGCTCCTGCTAAAGCAGGAATTGCTGTTCTAACCCTTGCTATGCAGCTCACTCGCCAATTGACCGCTGAAAATTCACTTAACCTCTGCCTCTTATGTAAAAAGAACAGTGCTGAGAGGCTTAATTAATTAAGTGGTCCTAAAACGCTTTTAGAGTTGCATTTGACTTCCACTTGTGCATAAATTCATGTTGGRCTAACAGTGACTGAGGGCATCATGAAAATGAGACAGCACCAGCCAAAGCATAATTACATAAATACAAAAGCTTTTTCTCCCAATCACAGAATCACAGAATGGTTTGGGTTAAAGGTTCTTTGAGCTCCAATCCCCCTGCCTTGGGCAGGCACATCTCACACCAAAGCAGGATTCTCAGAGCCCCGAGCTGGCAGTGAGTTACTGGAACAGACCCCAGAGGAGCTGTGGAATCCCCATCCCTGGAATGGTCAAAGCCATGGGTACATCAAAGGTGAAGCCACAAAAACTCCCATTGCTGACCCCTCAGCATTTGTCTGAAGTGTCTCAGTTTCTGTGTGACAATGATGAAATGTCATGGTGACACTCCTCCAGCACCAAAGGCTGAGGGCTGGAAGCTTCCARGACCTTTTAATTCCTGCTGGGGTTTGGTGGGTTTGTTCTGCTCAAAGGAGAGAGCAGAGATCCCTGAAAGGAGGAATCCACCCTCGGGATCTGCCCTGGGACTGCGGGATGGGGACACCAAAGGTGTGGGGATGTTGGGATCCTGTGCAAACATCGGGGCTGGGGATGGGTATGAACACCCTCCGAGATGGGAACTGGAGTGGCAGTGACACACTGGGACACACACAGTGGGACACACTGGGACAGGACTGGAACACACTGGGACACACTGGGACACACTGGGACACACTGGGACACACACACTGGGACTCACTGGGACACACTGGGACACACTGGGACGCACTGGGACACACTGGGACACACTGGGACACACTGGGACACACTGGACACACTGGGACAGGCTGGGACACACTGGGACACACTGGACACACTGGGACACACTGGGATGCACTGGGACACACTGGGACACACTGGGACACACTGGGACACACTGGGACAGGACTGGGAC